CCAAATATCTTGTCTTAACCAGAATCTTAAAAAAACCTATAATTCTGAGGTCTTTTTACCTCTAATGAATATAATCATATGTGTTTTATTATTAAATGTGTAAGTGAGTAGTAAAACATCTATAGTAAATTAATTTTTTTAACACCTAGATTTAATTGATTTTTATCAAAGGAGATTTTCCGAACAAATTGAGTTATTCTGTTGATCTATTCTTTCTAAAAGCCAGATTATTGTATTACAGTTTATTACAATCAAAACATTTATATGTTCTATTATCAAAAATTCTTTCTAATATTTTTGAAAATACTGGAAGATATTTTTAAAATTTTTTGAAAGAAGAACTTTAAAAAAAAAAGAAAAGAAAATAAAAGTCAGGAAGAATAATAGTTACTATTCATTTCCGTTTTTGTCGGAATTTAAGCAATTCTCATTTGTTCTGGAGAACTTAAGCAATTCTCATTTGTTCTGGAGAACTTAAGCCATTCTCATTTGTTCTGGAGAACTTAAGCCATTCTCATTTGTTCTGGAGAACTTAAGCCATTCTCATTTGTTCTGGAGAACTTAAGCCATTCTCATTTGTTCTGGAGAACTTAAGCCATTCTCATTTGTTCTGGAGAACTTAAGCCATTCTCATTTGTTCTGGAGAACTTAAGCCATTCTCATTTGTTCTGGAGAACTTAAGCCATTCTCATTTGTTCTGGAGAACTTAAGCAATTCTCATTTGTTCTGGAGAACTTAAGCCATTCTCATTTGTTCTGGAACTCCTTGATCTACAGCTTTGAAAACTTAAAAAAAAAACATAATTTAAACTTTCATAACAATTTAATATTATATTACGTTTTATTTTGTCTGCCACAGTTAACTTATTGTTATAGATTTAAATGCTCTCTCGAACTAATCAAGGGATAAACCAGATAACTCATCCTTATAACCCAGTGGGCTCACATTAAAATTTGGAACAGCGTTAAATAACGTTATTACTCGATTGTGCAATGATAATAATGCTATTATTGCAACGTCATGCAATGGTAATCGACGTTGTAACTTCGATGTAAAAATAACGTGTTTTAAAAGTATAAGTGAGCATTCATCAGGATTCGAACCTCTATTGCGGTACTCCATTCATACCAAAAGGGAAATATTTACTTATATACAGTAAAAAAATAATTTAAATATAATAAAATTCACTTAGTTTTAGTGGAAAGTTAAAACCATTAATTATAATTTAATATTATATTTATTTAATGGTTAAACATTTAAAAAACTTTATACTTCAACAGAGCCTTCGAGGGCGCAGGGTCAAAAATGAAGAACGGCGCCGCAGTTTACACTTTCTTTTAGTAGCGAGTTCAATTTTAAAGAGTTTATCGCTTGCTCTTAAAAATACAGACAACCTCGACAAAAGTAGATTTTATCTGAAATACAACAACCAGAAAAAAATAGGGGTAAAGTTTGTAATATTAGGCAAAAAAAATTGCGAATATTAAGCATATTAAAATTAAAAATTATAAATAAAAGTTAAAAATTTATTAAACTAAATTTGCACCATAAATTTAAAAATCTAGACCATTTAACAATATTAAGAGTTTCAATGTCTTTATCATACTTTTATTGAAAATATATTTTATTTCTTAACATTATATTTCTTAACATTTTAAAATTGTCTTTTTTTAAATGCTGTTGCTTATATATTACGGATTATTATATATTACGGATATTTATTTGCGTTACTATTGGGGCTTGGTGATAAAGCTATTTTATGCCTTCTTCTTGCTCCAGCCAATTGTACTTTTTATATTGTTGTACTTTGTGAATATTTTTAACGGCGAAATAAACTAAAAACAAAAAAAAAAATTGAAGTTCTATAGCTAAAAAAAATAAATACTAAAAAATTTCATGCATAAGTGAACAAAAATATAAAGGAATACAATTAAATTTGAAAAAATTAAAAAACAATTTAATAAAAATTTGTTAGAACTTTATAATTTGTTAAATACCTTTTTTCAATCTGTATTTACTCAAGACGATGAAAATTTTTACATATTACTGTCAAAATGATATAAGGGAGAGTTGCCGAAATTAGAACACTTGTATTTAATCTGTCAAAATGATATAAGGGAGAGTTGCCGAAATTAGAACACTTGTATTTAATCTGTCAAAATGATATAAGGGAGAGTTGTCGAAATTAGAACACTTGTATTTAATCTGGAAATAAAACGTCTTATGACTATATTTTGCATTTTTTTCTAGTAAAATGTCTTATTTTCTATTTTTTAAAAAAATATGAAGTTTATCTCTCAAAAAATGCACGTAAGCCATCAACTTAAAGCACTTATAAAATGCAAATAATAACATTTGATAAGTTTGATAAGTTGCTGCAAGAATGATGTTGCAGTGACATAAAAACTAGTTCGAAGGTTCCTTGATCGGAATTCTCACTGTAAAGATGAAAATAATTTTTTTTGACTTAAGTTAATTTTACTGTTGTTTTTTTTTTTTAAAGAAAAGAACAGTTTCGATTAAGGAATGAAAGTGTTTCAATTAAGGAAACTATTTGCCTATTTTCAATAACAGTGCAATCAATCAAGCTAAATTATGGTTAAAAATATTTTCTGCTTGTATTAATGAAATCATAAATGCTTTCATAGTTGAACCATCTTCGGTTAAAATATTCCGTAAGTGTATATAATTCGTATGTAATGAGTAGCTGCTCTAAAAGTTTTTATTGTTTTTATTCTTACTATTTCTACTTATTGTATTATTTCTATTGTAGTATTTATTATTATTACAATTACTACAGTGGAGAAAATAGAATTAGCCTCACCATGTTCTAATCCAATATTTGAAAATCTGTAAGCAAATTTGTACGGTGCATATTTGGTATCCACTCATATATAACTAATTTTACAAACAACAACTTTTTAGATTATAATATGGGATAATTAAATTGTGGTACATTTGATAAAACCATAAAATGTATAAATCTTGATTTTTGCGGTAACAAAAAGAATTAGCCTGATCAATAATTATTTTCAATTTACTTGTATTTTTTGATCTGGTAATAGGCATTTGTAACAGGATGTGGTAAGCGTTTAACAAACAAAGAAACAGCTGTAATCAGAGCATTCAAAGATACAGGCTTATCTAATCAAGAAATTGCAAAGAAAATTAAAAGATTTCTAAAAGTGGTTAATAATTGCATCAAGATGGGCGTTAATTATTGAACTTATAAGGAAAGTGGTGGCAAATGTAAAATTGATAGTTGTACTAAACAATTCTATGTCATGCTGCTGCTCAGTACACGACTGCATCTCGAATTTGTGCTGATTTACAATAGTTATAAATAACAGTTATAACATATATATATATATATATATATATATATATATATATATATATATATATATATATATATATATATATATATTATATATATATATATAACAGTTTGTATATATATATAACAGTTATAACATATATATATATATATATATATATATATATATATATATAACAGTTTGTATATATATATAACAGTTATAACATATATATATATATATATATAACAGTTTGTATATATATATAACAGTTTGTATATATATATAACAGTTATAACATATATATATATATATATATATATATATATATATATATATATATATATATATATATATATATATATATATATATATATATATATATATATATATATATATATATATATATATATATATAACAGTTTGCAATTACCTGTAAACTGTTCAACATGTGAGACAAATCTTACATGAAGATCCAAACAAGTTTGGAAAAAGCGTAAACCAAAACCAAAACTTACTGTTCGTCATAAAGAAGCTAGATTACAATTTGAAAAAAAACACGTCTTAGCAGGAAGAGTGGTGTCAAGTTCTCTTTAGTGATAAAAAAAAGCTTAATTTAGATGGTCCTGATGGCGATTGACTGGCAAGAACTTTGAAAAGAGGAAGAAGCTCAGCTGAGTTGCAACTTTGGTGGTAGAGCTGTTATGGTTTTGGGGGCTTTTTCCTTTGCTGGAAAACATCCACTGGCATGGATTTTAACAAAAATGAATTCACAGGACTATGTGAACTTATTAGAAATTAGTTTGCTTGAACATGGTGAAGAATTGATGGGTGAAAATTTCACTTTTCAACATGACAATGCTACTATCCATAATTCAAATCTTACAAAAACATGGTTTGGAGAAAAAAATATTAACGTAATTGAATGTCCCGGATGCAGTCCAGATCTAATCCAAATTGAAAATCTATATGGAATACTTTCTAGAAAGGTTTATGATAATGGTAAGCAATTTGAATCCACATTGGAGCTGAAAACTCATATCAGAGAAGGTTGGAATGAAATATCTATAGAAACTATTCAAAATCTTGTGACTAGTATGTCAAGTACTAGTCACAAGATTTTGTACGTATATTTGAAGTCAATAAAAATTCAGGAAGCAATACTAAATGTTAAATGAGCATAAAAACAAAATATTTTCTGTATTAATGTAAATGAGGTTAATTCTGTTTTCTCCACAAATTGAATACATTTAATTTTTTTTCTATTTGTAATTAGTTAAACATACCAATTTATTAATTTTTAAATTATAGTAGAAGATAATAGGAAATAAAGTAGATTTAATAATTGTTTTACTGCCATTTGTTAAATTAGAACAAAAAATAAAGGTAAGGCTAATTCTATTTTCTCTGCTGTATTATTATTATTACTATTGCTGCTGTTGTTATTGTTATTATTTTTATATTATATTGATATTAGTTAAAAATTTAAAAAAAATTGTTTCCATTTTCCTATTTCATTCTTATCATAAATAATCATTATATTACTCTACAGCTCTTAATATGAAACACAAATATCAATATAAAATAATAAGTTAAACATTAAAAACTAACTATTTTATATTTGTATGTTATTTAGATCAAATAGCATACAAATTATATATAAAAAAAAAACTCACTCCTGTCAAATGGCTGTTAAATTATCTAAAAAAAGTAATTTACACATGTCAAAAAAGTTTTTTGAGCACAACAATGTTTGAGTTTTCATTTTTTCTGTAACTAAATGGTATAATTAATAATGGATTGGTTATTTTTAAAGCACAACCGGACATCAAATTTTCCTCATTTAATTTTTTACTTGTAATTAAATTTTGATTTGTGTTTTTTTTATTGTAATTACTCACTGCGGAATCAGTGGTTTTACATGGATTCACATCTTCTGAGGTTGAAACAGCATCATGACAATAAACTTGATTTTCAGGTGTATTAGAAAAACTTAATTCTGTTTGCAAGGTTATTTTTTCATCTGCAATTTTCACAAAACTAGAGGGAAATATACCTTCTTTATCATTGAATCGACCCTTAAACCAATGTTCATTAATTTTTTCAATAATTAAAATTTCTGAATCTTTTTCAAAGTTTAAATCACCTGGTTCTGCACTGCTAAAAGAAAACAATGCAAAAGCTTTTTTTAAATAACTCGATTTATTATCATTAAATGGGGATGAATCATTACAAGGCTCTGAGGAAACTGCATTATTAACATCTAAATCAATTATTTCTTTATTTTTCAAATTTTTATTCAAATTAAAATCTATATTCGATGGTAGTTTAACAAATTCAGTAGGAAAAATTCCTTGCTTTTTATCTTCTAAGCTCTCACCAAAAGACCAAAAGTTGTCTATAAACTTTATAAATTTAATTTTTGTACCAACTTTTAAAGTTAACTCGTCATTAAATTGAGCAGAAAAATTGTTAATAACATCAGCAATAATATCACTTACAGAGTCTTTCGTTAATAATGATACTGAAGTTTTTTTTAATTCTTTCAAAACTATTTCATTGTCAACATGTTTTACAAAATCTTTTGGAAAAATACCTTTATTTAAACAACCTTTTTTAAATCCTTGCATCCAATTTTCATCAATAACATCTGAAATTAATACTATATCGCCTTTTTCTAAAGATAAGTCGCTTTCTTGCTCAGCATCAAACTTACTTAGAGCAATTGCTAAATTGATTATACCTTCGCAATCTTCAGTAAAAACTTTAGGAAATCGGCCTTTACATCCATTGTCAGACACTCCTTCATACCAGTTATCATTTAGAACATTTGTTATTTTTACATAGTCACCAGCAACAAGTGAAAGATCTCCATTTTTATCTCCATCAAAATTAAAAACACACCTAACTACTCCTCCAGCCATCATAAACCATTATATGAGAATTTTCAACACGCTTTGTTTTGATTCTACGGGAAAATGCACTCAAATATTTTGGGTCCGGTTAATCTTATCTGATTTTATCCGACGGAACCGGAATAATCCATCAACTTAAGCGTTAAACGTTATCTATTTTAATATTATGTTTTTATTTTTTACATTAAATATATTTATATTATTTATCTTTATTCTTTTATATTATATTTATAGTTTATATCATTTTATATACTGCAAAATACCATTTAATAAACACTCCAAAATTATTGGTTTTATTTAGAAACAAATTATACTAAACTTATTATCTATTAAAAAAAAATATAGAATTTATAATTTTTCAATAACAGATCTTTGATAACTAAAAGCTGCAAAATCAAGTACGACTTATAACTTCAAATGCAAATAGTTTTTTCAAAACATTTTTTAATCGAATAAAATAAAGTGATATTATTAAAGAATACTCATATTTTGCTTTTCATCAGCGAATATTTTAATAAACCTAATATTTTGCGTGCGGAGAACGGGGAGTAATACTAATATAAGCAGTAAAATACGGTAAAAACAGTAAAATAGTAAAAGTAAAATGATAAAATAAAAACAATAAACAAAAATTTTTACTAAACTTTTTACTACCATATGTTCGACACGGAATCAATGACATCAGTGGATCAAAACACATAAGGTGAACTTAACTAACATTTAGTCTATACAAGATAATTTCTTTCTTTAGATCAGGGGTAGTGTCAGCGTTTTTTGGTGATTTATATGTTTATAAGTCAAATAAGGATGCTTTGCAAAAATTAGCGATGATTGGAGCCTAGGAACAAAAAAGCCCCAAAGTTTTAGCCCCCTCCCTGCCCCAAACGTGAGAGCAACAAGTTGATGAAATTTTTTTTGAACTATTATAAAATTTCTCGATGATTATAAGTCTAGTTGAAAATAGTACAAAAAATTTTTCCTCAACTTGTTGCTCTCACGTTTGGAGAAGGGATGGTCGGGGGGGGGGGAGTGGGGAAATGCTAAAATTTTGGAGCCTTTTTTTTATCACCAAAAAGAGTCAGGAATTTTTGTATATTGTGTTTAAGTAACTTTCATTGTGATTTGTTTTTGTTGGGTCACTGATAAACTCCGTAACGGTTGAGCAGTATAAAATAATAACTTAGATAAATGTAGCCCGATAAATATCAACCTAATGAAACATGGATGATGTCAACGTTAGCCCGATGAGCAGCCACTCTTTCGCAAAC